TGAAACTCAATCCAGACAAGACAGAGGTACTCCTGGTCAGTCGGAAGGCCGAACAGGGTATAGGGTTACAGCCTGTGTTGGACGGGGTCGCACTCCCCCTGAAGACAGGTTCGCAGCTTGGGTGTGACTCTGGATTCTTCGCTAAGCTTGGAACCCCAAGTTTCAGCGGTCTCCAGAGGAGCATTTGCACAGCTTCGGCTCGTGCGCCAGCTGCGCCCGTATCTTGGGAAGTCGGACTTGGCCACGGTAGTCCATGCTCTTGTCACATCCCGCATAGATTACTGCAACGCGCTCTACGTGGGGTTGCCCTTGAAGACTGCCCGGAAGCTTCAGATGGTCCAGCGCTCGGCAGCCAGGTTGTTAACGGGAGCGGCACTCAGGGAGCACACCACTCCACTGTTGAGCCAGCTCCACTGGCTGCCAATTTGCTACCGAGCACAATTCAAGGTGCTGGCTTTAGCCTATAAAGCCCTACACGGTTCCGGCCCCACTTACCTCTCCGAACGCATCTCCTCCTACGAACCGGCGAGGATGCTAAGATCGTCCGGGGAGGCCCTGCTCTCGGTCCCGCCAGCATCACAAGTGCGGCTGGCGGGGACGAGGGACAGGGCCTTCTCGGTGGTGGCCCCTCGGCTATGGAATGCCCTACCAGTGGAGATCAGGCAGGCCCCCTCGCTATTGGCGTTTAGGAGGCGGGTTAAGACGTGGCTCTTCGAACAGGCGTTCGGATAAGCATGCAATAACATCTGACTCAGAAGACGGCATACTGAACAAGGAATGGTAAAACGACTATGAGATTTGGATCTGATTCTATTCGAGGCGTGATGACGTTTTGTGTATTGTTTGTGGTTGTTTGTCATATATATTGTTCAATGTTGCACATTTTACTGTAAACCGCTTAGAGTCGCCGTTGGCTGATATTTGCGGTATACAAAAGGAGTAAATAAATAATAAATAAATAAATAAATAATTGCACACTTCACACTTGGTTAATAGACACTGGTTCTTTCTTCCACCCTTGGCATGCCACAAGTATATTATACTCCACTTGTATTATTATTATTATTATTATTATTATTATTATTATTATTATTATTAAACTTTATTTGTACCCCGCTAGCATCTCCCGAAGGACTCGAAGGACTTTTACCACCACCAGATCTTCTGAAGATGCCAGCCACAGATGCAGGAGAAACATCAGAAGAAAATGCTGCTAGAACATGGCTATACAGCCTGGAAACCACACAACATTCCAGTTGTTCTGGTCGTGAAAACCTTTGACAATACAACTCATTTTATTTAAGAGCCATTTTGAGAAGAATAGCATGGATCATAATCCGCACTGACCAAATGTATGATTTTTTTTAACTAACTTCCCATCACTTCCTAATTTCTTGGTTGGCAGCTGAGGTGGAAAGGGTAGCTTTGCCATCCCACACACTATGCAAAAGTTTCAAGGCAAGGGAGGCCATTCAGAAATACCTTATCTCACTGCAGTTCTTTTCTCTTCCACGCACCTTTTTGTTAGGAAAGATGTTTCCACTGTAGCAGGGGAAAAGGGTGCAGCCTTCAGCACACATTCCAAGGAATGTTTTAAAAATACAATAAATAGAAGAAAATGAATGGGTGTTAAGAATAATTAGCCAGCATGACAGGTCTGAACAAAGAAGAAGGGCACACCTGTGCTCCTGTCTGTTTATGAGTAAAATAAGGAGATACGCCTGGTTACCGGTGTGAGTTCAGTACACTTCCAAGATCAGCATGGGGGGGGGGGACTCTAAACATCTGTGGGCTAGGTTGGTTACTGATTTCTTTTTATTCAAATATGATTTGTGTGTGGGAGGAGCCATGGCTTAAGGTACGGTGTATGCTTTGCACGCAAGTCCCAGATGTCATCTCTGGTTCAAATGCTTTCCTTCACAACAAATACATCAACTTGATATTGTTGATATTAATACCAGAAAGACCATTCCTCCATCCCAAGTGCCACTGCTGTTGCCTCAGAGGGATAGAAAAACCACCAGTATCTGCTGGATTTAATTATCTTCCATCCCTTTTCCTTTTGTGTCATAATCTTAATTGGATTGTAAAGGTGAGGGCAGTTGTTATTTTAATTGTGAAGCACCATGTATAGTGATGGTGTTATATAAATAAGTTGATGATGATGATGATGATGACAACGACAATGACTACAATAATAATATTTTGGAGAAATGTTGCTAGTCAAAGAGTAGCCATTATTTCTTAGTTGGAGTAATGGTTCATCACAGTCTTGTTTGTTCAGATAGATACTTTAGAATGAATCTATGAGATTCTTTTGATTTATTTATTTATTTGATTATTTCTCTTCTGCATTGTCCAGTGACATCTGAATATGGCCACAGATTTAAACAGAATTGTTACAAAATAGATCACTCTTCTGCTTCCTAAAAAATTGGTTCGCAATTGGTATTATCTCAACAAAGAGGAAGTGCTATGTGGTGTTCTGTTCTCTATCCAGAAACACAATGAAGAAACACAATGAGCCCATCCAGACAGCCTCTTTATTGCAGAAATTTCTGGAATAAAAAGGAGGCCGTCTAGATTACATTCTGGGCAGTTCCACATTCATTTGCTTCAAACCAGGAAAACCCAGGTTTGTAGCTAAATAATTTGTTAGTGCTAATTAACTGTAGTCCAGACACAATTTTCAGTGTCTACAGTCCAGAACCATTCCCACAGTTTACTGGCCTAAATAAGCCCAGTAAACTGTGCGAATACCCATCCCCAAGCCCCCAAACCCTCTAGAAAAGTAAAAAAACTTACCACCCTACAGTATTCTCTCCGTGCAGCTCTCCCAGCGCATACAAATTACATGCAAGGAGGGGGGGGGACAGAGGGAATACTGCAGACTGGTAAGTGCTCTCCTGGTGGGTCATTTGTACATGCCAGGAGAGCTGGACAGAGGAAACACTGCAGATTGATAAGCTTTTTTATTTTTCTAAAGGGTCTGGGGGCTTGGGGAGGGGATAGAGCCTCCCCACATTCTCTCAGGCTAGTCCCAAGACAACATGTGGACAACCCACCCCAGAAAGTGCATGCTTTCTGGGATGGGTGCGGAAAGCCCTACCAAAACATCTACCCAATGTTTATAATAGCATTCCTCAAAAACACTGATCCAGTTTCATAAGGTGCAGTCACATGAGATGCAATTATGCCAAAGTTGCTTTACATCATTTTGGGGTTGTGACATTTCCAGAGACACAGACACTGATGGGGTGTGACTGTCTTTATGCTACAGTGATAATTTTGAAACAAAACCTGCTCTTATGTTGAGGTATAACTCTGATATTAATATGTACAGTGCATATTTGTATGTGCAACCTCCACAGCAATTAGCACAGGCTTGTTTTGGTAAATAACTATGAAATATCATACCATATATTAGGGAATATATCCCATAATCATTTCATAATATATCCCACCACTGACACAGGCAAATTTGATGAGGACATCTGAGGAGGCTTTCTTGGTGCCTGCTCCCAGACAGTAAAATCCTCTTATTGTCTTTGGGTTCCATGCAGGAAGAAATGAAAGGTATGCATTAGATCAGTGTTTCTCAAACTCTGCTCCTCCAGATGTTTTGGACTTCAGCTCCCGCAATTCCTAACAGCTGGTAAGCTGTCTGGGATTTCTGGGAGCTGAAGTCCAGAACACCTGGAGGAGCACAGTTTGAGAAACACTGCATTAGATCAATCAAGCAGTTATCATATGAAAGCAACATAAAGGTGTAAGCAGCTACTTTTTGGCTGCTGTTTAGACGTGATCTGAAGAGGCAATATGACCAAAGCAAAAGGAAGAAATAATACCAAGGTTCATAAGTCAATGACCTCACCCTATTGCAATTTATCTGTTCTTTTTACAGGAAAACTTAACATATAATTTCCCCCAAAAGGAAAACAACACTCAGTTTTGCAATTTGGCTTCCAAATTTGCAATTTGGTGCTTCCCTTCTGACTTTCTGATAAACCAGTTCCTCATTGTACAACAAGGGAGTCTTGGTGGCGCAATGGGTTAAATCCTATAAAATTCACGAGGTTGCAGTAAATTGACAGGTGACTAGAAGGTGCACACACAAAGGAAGGGTTCTCCACAACACGCCCTTTTATACAAAAATGCAACTCACATCAAATGATTAGCTTTAAAGTATTTATTTTTACAACACTATTTTTCATTTTACAAATCATGGAATGTAAAAAAACAGATATTAAAATTACATTACTCATTATAAATAAAAACCACAATCCAGGGAGCGTTAGTCCATGTAGTGCCTGAGTTTTTCCTCCACTTTCCTCCCAATATCTTTTTGTGTATCTTCTTTTAGATTTTAGAAGGGAACATCTTCTTTCTGATTTGTAAGGTACTCCCAAAAGTGGCTTGAGGAGAGGATTTAAAGAAATATACTCTTGAAGTCCAATGAGAGAACCAGTGAATATATTTCCCTGGAATTAGGTCACAACAAACATAATTATCAGCCTGTGCATCCACAGCAGCAATGAGGACACCCAACCTAGACCAGCAGGCTGAGATAAATATTACAATTGCTTATAATGCAAGAACATTTCTTTGTAGTATGTACATTCAAAACAAGAAAGAAGACATGTTTCATTGACTGGCATCATACAGTGCACTGTTACTAATTAGCACCCAGCATTTATACACTATTTATAAAAAAAAATTACAAATTTATTTTTAAAGGAGAGACCTTGCCTATCAAGATATACATTTGTATTATGTATAAAGTCCAGCCCAGATTCAAAATCTTATGGTGCTTCATATGAAAGAGGTAGTGAAAATTAGTCTTCCACTTTCTGACTTTATACCAGCTAACAGAAAGCCCAAGTTAAATATTTTGTATCCTACATTCCCTGCAAATAAGTGCTTCAGAACGGCTTGGTTTTAACTATGCTACCCCCCCCCCCTCATTGACTAATATTTCTGTAATACAGAAATCTCTGCTGTAAGACATCTTCCAGCATTCCTCACCATTGGCTAAGACTATTAGGAACTGCAATCTGACAACATTTGGAGGGCTGACTGATTTTCCTGCAAATGGATTGCAGAAAAGGGCACATAACATGGTTCCCTGACACAATCAAGTTTTTAAATGCCACAAAACTGTTGTTCATGTTTAAGCAGCAATCAGAATGCCTTTTATCCATTTTGGAATACATTTTTCTGGTACAGAAGACATTATATTTTAAAACACACATGCCAAGGGATCCTGTCCTGCAAAAATGAGCAGAACTTCCCGTTACTTTGGTCACCAAAGCGTAGAAACCAAGGTATAAAAATCCCCAGTTTTTGGCTTGATGGATAAATTATAATAATAAAATAATTATTAATATATAGATACATAAATAAATAAATAAATAAGAAAACCACAAATAGTTGCTCCTATAGTTCTGCAGACCGCTCTTTTAGTAGTACTGCTGGATTGATTTCGTCTAATGATGCGCTGGTGGTGCTGATGTTGCTTGTTACCATTGTTTCTTGGGTCAACACATGGAACGCTGTGAGAGGACAGCCAGCCACGTTATTGCAGACAAGTCTTTGGAGGGAAGCTGTGTTCACAATATCAAAGCCCACCTTGCCCCCAAAAGTGCTCGGTTTCCAGTACTCAGGAGAGCAAATTGCATTCCCCATGAGTCCTTTCAGGGAGAACGGTGCTCCAAGTTCGATCATGGTTTCACCAAAGATGGCTCCAGGACGTGGTTTTTCTACTAAAAGAGCTGGATAAAGCTCCATCGCATCAATGTCTCCATAAAGTTCTTTAAGTTCAGCGGCCATTTCTTTCTCTCCTGTAACAAACAGACATACAGTAATCACTGGGAGGGAAATTAGAATGCAGCTTCCAGAATCTTTCTACCAGTTTCATCAAACAGCTATGCTAATCAGAGACCTACAGTCCAACCTCCCTTTCTGAGATATGAGTGTCTTTCACTCATATCTCAGTTACTTATAAACTTTAAAATGATTAGGTGTTTCTTCTAAAGTTATCTTTTGGGATGGATTGAAAATGCCTCATCCCAAAGTAGACTGTGGGTGGTTCCAGACAGCCGTTATCCCAGGAGCACCTGCATTTTAAAAACGTGCATGTTCCTGGGGCCCCATCTACACACTTCCCAGGAAAACTTCCCAGGAGAATACCCGGACACTCTAACCCCCTCCCTAAAAGACCCCAAAAAGCCCTTTTAAAAAGAAAACTACTTACCCGGCCTCCATTGGAGAACTGCCACAGCTCTCCTGGCGCACAGAAATGACACGCCAGGAAAAGGGGGAGGTGCAATTTTCCTTCTCACTCCCCCCCTTTCTTCTGGCACATCATTTCTATGCCCCAGGAGAGTTCTTTTTAAAGGGCTTTTTAGGGTCTTTTGGGGTGGTTAGTTAGTATTCCCACAGTTTTCTGGGCTAATTTAGCCCAGAAAACTGTGGGAATACTGTCTGGACTGCAGTCCAAACACCGGAAGTAGTGGGTTTATTCTGCACCTTCCAAGAAGGAGCAGAATAAACCCACTATCAAATTAATTCACCACAAACCAGGGCATCATCTGGACTGCCCCCTTTTAATTGCAGGAGTTTCCGCAATAAACGGGATGTCTTGATGTGCCCTAAGTTGGCTGGGCAGGGAGACTGAATGAACTGGACTACCTTGGTGATGCCACTGTTATAGAAGAATGAAGTCCAGGAAGAGAGGGAACATGGGCAAATTGTGGAGGAATATTGCATTAACAGAATCAAAACAAGAACAATCAAAGAAGCAACAAGGTATATTTGTAGAGACAGTATAGTAACATTACATTTTCTCATGGAAAAATCTGTCTTCCTCCCTTTACAAAAAAAACCTCCTTACTGGTTTTTAATACTTTCACATGTACTTCTTTTCCCCCTTGAGCTTTCACTACAAAATGCAAAAGTTTTAGTACTATGTACTTTGCTTCAGTGGTTAAATATCTTGCCTTCCAAAGGAAGTGCTATCTAGAAACTCATCCTCCAAAGAGTAAAATGTCTTCTCTTTTTTGAAAATTATAAAACCCCCTACATTTATATATTACCGTTTTAGGTTCATTTGACAAAATTGTATTGTTTGAGTTTTTTTATGTGTATTTTATAGGTTTTTGTCAAAAATTTGTCCTAGGACTATCTCCTTACAAAAAAGAAGTTCTAGATATATATTCTTACCCACAAAGTTTCTCTTTTAGATCACATAGAAGAATCAGTCTTACCTGTAAGTTCTTCAAATGACTGGAAAGGCTTCAGGAGGAAGTGTTTGCGATATTCATTCAGGGATCGGTACCTCATTTGCCGGCTTTGATCAATAGAAGCTTTAGCCACTTTCAGAACTGCAACTGGGACATTTCGGCCTCCAGCTACCTGTTAGCAAGGAAATGGATATGAAGAATGTGAAGGAATTGCTCAAAAACGACATGCTCAAGAAGATAATTCCATAATCCACACAAGATTTTTTACCTCCAGTACAAGACAACAAGTGCTCTTACCCCAAGCTATCTATATTTCCACGATTTATACAAAATATACTTACAGCTAGTGTTCTTTTGAAGAAAAGACCAGAACAAGCAACCAAAAATGATGGCTGGTTGATCAAGAAAAGATGCTCTGTTTATTATCAATCTGCTCAGGTCCAAAAAGTGGACTGCTGTGCCCTAGCTTCTCAAGAAGAGAACATGCAATTCCTAATCTGAGTTTAGAAAAAGGAGACTTACCCTTCCAGCTGTTTGCTTGGAGAAAGATTGTACCATGTGAGAAAGGCCATGGTCCAGCATAATGGAATTGTTGTAGACAAACTGCTGATAAGTATATTCTTGGTCCTGAATGTTAAAAGTATCAGGCAGAAGAGGGTGCCAGTGATAAAGAGTGTTGAACTCTGCTGCTATTCTGTTCTGATACTGGAATCGTTGGCTAAAGAGCAGCTCTGGATCGAACTTCAGCTTGAAGTGATAGCCACTTAAATGCTGTACATAGTCTTCAATCACAATTTTAATGGTTTCACCTGTTTTTAAAAAAAACCAAATAGTTAAATTCTATTGAATTCTAAAAATCTAAAAATCCAAAATTGAAACAGTTATCTAAGAAAGTGTTTTCTGCCAGTTAAAGCCAACATTTAAGGATATAAAATAGCATTGCTGTATCGAGACCAAGGGTATACAAAGAAGGCAACTTTTCTAACATTACATTCCCAAAGGGGGCAAACCAAATACCACTGAGAAACCCAGATGCAAGTGCAAGAGAGATTTACTGTCTTTTTCAGTATCCAGTGTTAAAATGGATACTGCCTTTCTGCATGAGGGTCTGTGGTTCATAGCTGCTTAGTCAAAGCTTTAGAGGACAGACCATTTTAGAGCTACCTCTGAGGATGCTCAGATTCCATCTGAACATGAGGAAGAACCTGACTGTGAGAGCCGTTCAGCAGTGGAACTCTCTGCCCCGGAGTGTGGTGGAGGCTCCTTCTTTGGAAGCTTTTAAACAGAGGCTGGATGGCCATCTGTCAGGGGTGATTTGAATGCAATATTCCTGCTTCTTGGCAGGGGGTTGGACTGGATGGCCCATGAGGTCTCTTCCAACTCTTTGATTCTATGATTCTATGATGCTTGCCAAAGTGCAGGCGAAACGTCAGGAGAGAATGCCTCTAGACCATGGCCATACAGCCCAAAAAAACCTACAACAACCCAGTGATTCCGGCCATGAAAGCCTTCAACAATACATTTTAGAGCTATTTATTACGACCATAATCATACTTTTGTTGCCATCAGATTTCATTAAATAGTTTCTGCATGTCAGCAATTATCATTGGTCAAACTTACCTATCAAGATCAGCCTGGTTGTTTGGAACAGTTGTTCATCATCCCATTCCGGATGCTCCCCTTTAAGAACATCACACACCCGGTTGTGTTCCCGTAGCCATAATGTCGCATACATCATCAGTCCTGGAACCAAACCAAAAACTTCTTGTCCTACACAAAATCTCAGGTGCTCAGGGATATGGGGTGGATAGATCATTTCTGCCTGAGTGTCTTTCACTGTGGGTGGATACATTTCTCCATCAATCATCTGTAATTAAAAAGAACAAAAAAGACTTGCAATGCATTCAAGCTATATGATCCAGCAAAACGTGGCTTAAGCTTGTCACTTTTGATTATTTTCAAGTAGAATCCAGGGCCCCTCCAGACAGGCCCTATATCCAAGGATCTGATCCCAGGTTTTCTGCTTTAAACTGGATTATATGAGCCTGCATTGTGAGATAATCTGGGATAAACAGAAAACTTGGGATCAGATCCTGGGATACAGGGCCTGTCTGGAAGGGCCCCGAGTTAGGTTGGACTGTAATCTTGATGGATTTTTCCTACCATTGTGCATGTCTTCTTGACAAACTAGGAGCTTGAAGCTGTTATCAAAAGCAGTGTATGTTTCATTATCATTAAAGAAACATGAAGAACATAAGAAGAATCCTGCTTGATCAAATCAAAGGTATCTCTACTCCAATACTCTGTTCCCTTAGTGGTCATTAAGGGGGAAGTCCACAAACTGAGCAGGAGTGGAACTATATCCTGTCTCATCTTCCCCAGCAACAGGTATACAGCATTCAACCACATGTCATTCAAGGAAAAATGGTGACCCTTTCTCCCAAGGGAACCACAGCCCACCTGATATTTGAGTTTTCCATCCTTAAGCAATCTCAGTTTCATCTGTCTGTCTAAATTCTCTCCATAAATGTGACTCAGATCAACCTGTTGAAATAAAGAGGAATATGAATGACTACTTAAAATCAAACTGGTTTAAAGAGAAAATAATTTTGCTGGGACCTCTAAAGAGCAGACAGAACATCTCAATATACACTGAATTCCTCTCAGAACTAGGTGAACATATAATAAACCAGTGGCATTACATCAACCCACTGCCTCCCAAATAAAGTCTTTTACTGGGTACAGATCTAGCCAGATTTAAGCACTTTGAAATGAATATAAATAATACCAGTCAGAAAAGTAGAAAGTTATTTCTCAAATACACTCTTGCGAAATTTGGAGATTTTGGGGCTTTTACCCACCTGAGGTTCTGATGGGGACAAAGCCAAGCATTAACCCCAGTCTGAAAGATGCCTTCACATGTATCATCTCAACCACCAGGAGAATGAACTTTCCAAGCCTGAATTATTATGTTAAGGTCTGCATGTTACTGAAGGCTGAAACATGCAAACCTAAGTAGTTGTGGCATTATATAAATTCAATAGAAAAGGAACTGAACTGTTTAGTTGTTTAGTATAGAAACTAAGTCATGGATAATGTATAATCATCATCTATACTGGCAGCAGGGGTTTTTAAGAAAAACAAGAACTTTGCCTAAATGCAGAAATAGGCCCCCAATGCAACAAATTCCCCAGGCAGGAATTTTATTTCTCTCAGAGATAAAGCTCTGCTGGTTTCTAATTGTGAGGTCAAGCTATATTTCAGCCATCTTACCCCATGTCCAAGGCCTTTTGTGAACTCTGGTCCTTTGTGGTGATCCGTTTTGAAGAACTGGTGGGTGAAATGTTGGGCAAAGAATGTGAACATTACATTTGTGCCTTGAGGGTCAGGTATAAATTTTCTCCTCATCAAAAATTTCTCCACAATGATTTGGGAATCTGGAAGCTCCTTTTTGCCTGAAATGTAAAGCATTAGATTATTTCCCTAACACTAGATTAGGGTTTTTACTCAAATTTACTGTAAAAAAACCCAATATTGCAACAGTATAATATAGAATATTGATAACCAATTCCCTGACAGAGTACAGCTAGGTTCAGTAATGATACTGTAGTACACTAGATATAGCCAATACCTTAGTTACCAAAATATACATTTTGTTGGTTGATTTACAGACATCACATTTAAATCTACCTCCCTTTCTTTGAAGAACCAAAAAGGCAAAGCTTTTCATTGGAAGTGTTGACTCGTCTAATAATTTTTTAGTTCCATTTTATTTCAACTGTATTTGTGCAGTCTCTGTGGTTAACAAGAGCATGGGGAGGGAAAGCAAAATAATACTTTTTCTTCTATCCATCAAGTGATACACAAATAGGCAGAGGGAGGATAGGTGCATGAGATACAGAAATAGTGGAAGAAAGAGAAACTAGACACATATGGGCTCTCTCTCATGGTAGGAAATCCATATCATGCTGGAATTACTCAATACTGGCCATGTGTCAGAGAGGAAGAGAATATTCTTTTTCTACCCATCTGCATGCATGCACAGTTTTGCTTTCAATTTTACCTTTAATACCCATTGGAGTGGGGCAGTTGTGTTCCACTGGTGGGAGACTTCGAGTGTAGTATGAAAGGTTTGAATAGGCTTCCCAGCTTTTGTAACTGTAATGGCCGTTATATGTTGGTGGACTCTCTATTAAGTGGGATCTTGCTAAAAAGCAAAAGAAGCATTACTTTCATGCTAAAAGATTTGAATATACAAATACTCTCAACACACAAATTCAAATATGATCCAATAAAATATATTCTGCAGCCATACAATGTTGGAACTAGATAAATTAGATTGCATGTTATACTATCTAATAGCACCGCAGTTCCATCTTAGGTCTGACTCTGAAGTTCACCTATGCTCTATCTCCCATTTTTCATTTTCTTCCAATCTTGTTTCCAGAAGTTGTTTTTGGACTACAGTATGCCCAATTTAGCATGGCCAATCGCAGAGACATGGCTGAGTAATATTCAGGTCTTTTTTATCCTCCCCCTTCCCAACCCTGCCATTACAAAGACATTTTGTAAACACTGTGGATATGGAGGGTCATCTGTCTATTTGTACTGTAACGATAGAAGGAGAGAAAACTTACACATCAATATGTATGTCATGATGGCTCTGTGAAGGAATGGGATGTTATTGATGATATTCCAGACACCTTTGAAGTGAGTAAGTATGTAGTGGACCATGTCAGGAGTAGGCTTCAATTTCAGTTTTAGCCAAGTCAAAAATTCAGCTGTATTGAAGAAAAAATGTTCAAGCTTTTAGAACTGGAAATACATAAAGCTATCTTATACTAAGTAAAACCATCAGACCATTGAGCTTGGATCACCTATACAAAGAGAGAAATCATACGGCCTTCTAGATGTTGCTGGACTGTAACTCCCAACAGCCTGCTTAACATAGCTAATGGTAAGGAATGCCAGGGTTTGCAGTTTAACAGTATTGAGAGGAGCACATTATTCCACTCCTGTCTATACCATTTATTTTCAAGCTGGGCCTTCTACACACACACACACTATCACTTGAAGACTGTTGTCACTTTCAGTAGATCACTAGTATTTCTCTTCCACACTGATGTCACAATTAAAATCAGTGGTATGCTATAAAAGCAATGAGCTGTAATGGTCTGTCCAGTAAACTGATCTGGGTTAAAACAGTCTTGAATAGCCTTGTCAGAAAAAGATCCATCAAGTGCTTGGTTTATTTATTTATTTCATGTCAAAAGCATTGCATAAAACAGTTTATCTAAGTGCTTGGTGAAGGATATACATACTTCAACTTTATACAAACCACTGAATTCTGGTCTACACTTACAGACAGCAATTTCCCAGAATTTCAGAGAGGAGACTTTCCGGCAAGTACCAAGAAATGTCAAAGACTGAATCTGAAAAGTAACGAGCTTTCCCTCAAATCAGGAGTAGGTAACCCTGAAGAAGATTTAAGCAACTGGCGACAATGAATTGACCCGGACCCAGCTTTGGATTTTAATTGCCGTGTTTAATTAATTGCTTTTTAATTAACTGTTTTTAATTAACTGTTTTAATGTTTTAATTATATTTGTTGAATGTTTATGTGAAAGCACTGATCGTGTGAGGCTGCCCTAAGTCCCCCTTTGGGAGTGAGAAAAATGGATTATAAATGCAGGAAATAATTAAATAATTAAATAAATAAATAGAGCAGGGACCTTTTTATGTATAACTAGCCAACGGGCTGAAGCAGCGCATTTTAGGATGTCTGAAGTGCTGTAATGTCACTTCAAGCTGCCATTTTGGCTATTTCTTTCCCTGTTTTGAGCTTTGGGGGCAAGGGTGTGGCAGGGAATCAAACTATTGTCTTTTCATGAAGTCCGGGGAAGATCAGGGTAGTTTGGAGGTAAAAAAATGTCCTAAACAGGGGAGGGGGTCTGAGGGTCGCCAAGACCATGCATAGGGACAACCAACCTGGCTGCACTTTGCCTACCTCTATCATAGAATCATAGAATCAAAGAGTTGGAAGAGACCTCATGGGACATCCAGTCCAACCCCCTGCCAAGAAGCAGGAAATTGCATTCAAATCACCCCTGACAGATGGCCATCCAGCCTCTGTTTAAAAGCTTCCAAAGAAGGAGCCTCCACCAGCACTCGGGGCAGAGAGTTCCACTGCTGAATAGGCTCTCACAGTCAGGAAGTTCTTCCTAATGTTCAGATGGAACCTCTTTTGTAGTTTGAAGCCATTGTTCCGTGTCCTAGTCTCCAAGGAAGCAGAGAAACAAGCTTGCTCCCTCCTCCCTGTGGCTTCCTCTCACATATTTATACATGGCTATCATATCCCCTCTCAGCCTTCTCTTCTTCAGGCTAAACATGCCCAGCTCCTTAAGCCGCTCCTCATAGGGCTTGTTCTCCAGACCTTTTACCATTTTAGTCGCTCTCCTCTGGACACATTCCAGCTTGTCAATATCTCTCTTGAATTGTGGTGCCCAGAACTGGACACAATATTCCAGATGTGGTCTAACCAAAACAGAATAGAGGGGTAGCATTACTTCCCTAGATCTAGACACTATGCTCTATTGATGCAGGCCAAAATCCCATTGGCTTTTTTTGCCGCCACATCACATTGTTGGCTCATGTTTAACTTGTTGTCCACGAGGACTCCAAGATCCTTTTCACACGTACTGCTCTCGAGCCAGGCATTCCCCCATTCTGTATCTTTGCATTTCGTTTTTCCTGCCAAAGTGGAGTATCTTGCATTTGTCACTGTTGAACTTCATTTTGTTAGTTTTGGCCCATCTCTCTATCTTAAGCAATACTGTAGAAATATAACATTCTAAAATACTTACGTGTAGTGCAGTTTTCCCCATAATATCCAGTTCGTGTACAGTCACAAACATACGTGTCAAAACCTGTTGTCATGCACACTCCTCTGTTATGGCATGGATTTGAACAGCAAGGATTAACTGAAAAAGAATTGAGAAAAGAAATAATGAACTTAGGAGAACCTACAAGTACGAGTTCAACCATGGACTTAAGCAGAGCAGATGTTCTTAGGCACAGCAAGTACTGTTGGCTATATTCAGTTCTTCTGGAATATTTATGTCTTTGATTCCTTTGCTCATTACCCGAGACTAACCTCCACTAGGAACAATATGCCTTACTTCTGAATAAAGATGCATGGAATTCTTTGATGTAAGAGTGTTTTTGACTCTAAAAGTTGGTATTAAAGTATTTAATAACCTGGTCTCATCAATTTTATGAATACGCTAAACAGTACTAGGCTATTACTCATGCATTTGAATTTATATAGGTGGTAAAATATATTCTATCTTCAATAAGTCTAAAACCTCTCCATTACATTGAAGAGACATGAAGGAAGTATTAGCCAAAGTAAAATTTCCTTCCTCAAACAGTTTGGAATTTATTTATTTGTGTACATTAACTCTTCACAGTTGACCCCTTTTTATTATACTAAGGAAACCATTTTCTCTGGAAATATATTTCAGGAAACCCAAAGAAGAACATATCCTTAGCTGGTTAAACTGTGTTGGTCTATGCTGTAACATTGATTATGATTTTTGCCATTTTATAGTTGGTTTCACACTCAATCCTGTTCATGCAGTTATAGTGCGAGTTTGGCATTGCATTGCAATGTATTATTATCTATCTATCTATCTATCTATCTATCTATCTATCTATATAAATGTTCGGTGCATAATGAGTACCTTAAAAACAAAAGAACCAATGAACGAAATCACATCAAATTTGGCAACAAAATATCTCACAATACAAAGAGTGACCATCACTCAAAAATTATGATTTTGTCATTTGGGAGTTGTAGTTGCTGGGATTTATAGTTCAACTACAATCAAAGAGCATTCTGAACGATGGAATTGAACCAAACTTGGCACACAGAACTCCCTTCATCAGGGCAAGAAAACATAATCAAAGTCCTCCTGACAAAGAGCCAATCAGCCATAGATATAGATAGATAAATATAATTCACACACACACAGATATAGTATAATAGATTTGAAAGGGACCCTTAAAGAAGGACAATGGTATCTTGCATGTTCCAGGGTGGGCAAACCAGACACTCTCTACATCAACACTGACAAAGAAACAGCAAGAAATACTGTTTACCCACAAGCATAAAGAAATTACATATATTAGAAACCAACACTTTCTCATTACTTTATTTTCCAGATCAACAGACTGGGCCGCAGCAACGCGTGGCAGGGGACAGATAGTATGTTATAAATCAGTTGCTCAGAACTCTTTGATGTGAAGGCAAGCATAAAAACATTCCATTGGATATATTAAAATATTTTAGAAAATGAAATCATGCTTTCACAACATAAAATTAACAAGAGGTCACAGGACAACTAAATTCACATTTAAATACATCAGACATAGCAGCAAAAATCACTCAGGCTCTGTGGGCCCAAGCAGATTTCTGGGGCCCTACTGAGCAGACATATTTAGGATTGCACTGCGCACCTTTCCCCCTCCACTGCATTCTTGCAAACTGACCAATTCCTTTGACAGAGCGTTAGGAGCCACCCATAGTTGCGACAGGCTTTTAGAACACATTATTTGGTTTAGATGTTTTAAGTCAATAAGGGAGCCCCCGGTGACACAATGGATTAAATCCTTTTGCCGGCAAGACTGACAGGTTGGAGGTTCGAATCTGGGGACAGTGCAGATGAGCTCCCTCTGTCAGCTCCAGCTTCCCATGTGAGGACATGAGAGAAGCCTCCCACAGGATGGTAAAAACATCCAGGTATCCCTTGGGCAACGTCCTTGCAGACGGCCAATTCTCTGACACCAGAAGCGACTTGCAGTTTCTCAAGTCATTCCTGACACGAAAGAAAAAGAAGTCCAAAAGCACATAAATTCCCCATATACTTGCAAACTATCTGCCTTCTAAATTTCAGTGCACCTTAATATTAATTGCTATAAGGATCCCTTGGGATGTCAGGCCTGTAGCCGGAGGGGGGGGGGGGCTAGGGGTTCAAACCTCCCCCAAAATATTTCAGGTTAAAAAACCTATTTTTTGGCTATTTTTGACCTGACTAATCTTGCATACCATGTATCTTATACCTTTTACAGCAGTGTTTCTCAACCCGGGGGTCGGGACCCCTGAGGGGGTCGCGAAGGGGTGTCAGAGGGGTTGCCAAAGACCATCAGAAAACACAGTATTTTCTGTTGGTCATGGGGGTTCTGTGTGGGAAGTTTGGCCCAATTCTATCATTGGTGGGGTTCAGAACGCTCCTTGATTGTAGGTGAACTATAAATCCCAGTATCTACAACTCCCAAATGTCAAAGTCTATGTTCCCCAAATCCCATCAGTGTTCACATTTGGGCATACTGAGTATACATAATTGTTTGAGCCCACAGTGCTCTCTGGATGTAGGTGAACTACAACTCCCAAACTCAAGGTCAACGCCCACCAAACCCTTCCAGTATTTTCTGTTGATCATGGGAGTCCTCTGTGCCAACTTTGGTTCAATTCCATTGTTGGTGGGGTTCAGAATGCTCTTTGTTTACATATTAACTATAAATCCCAGCAACTACAACTCCCAAATGACGAAATCAATCCCCCCGACAACCCCACCAGTATTCAAATTTGGGCATACTGGGTATTTGTGCCAAATTTGCTCCAGTGAATGAAAATACATCCTGCAAATCATTATTTACATGGCAATTCATAATGTTAGGGTTATGGTTGGGGGTCACCACAACATGAGGAACTGTATTAAGGGGTCGCAGCATTAGGAAGGTTGAGAACCACTGATGTAGACGGAGGATGAGGAAAAGAAGTAGAAGATGTACAAGAAGATGACAAGCTGGAATGTGTCCAGAGGAGGGCGACTAAAATGATCAAGGGTCTGGAGAACAAGCCCTATGAGGAGTGGCTTAGGGAACTGGGCATGTTTAGCCGGAAGAAGAGAAGGCTGAGAGGAGATATGATAGCCATGTATAAATATGTGAGAGGAAGCCACAGGAGGAGGGAGCAAGCTTGTTTTCTGCTTCCTTGGAGACTAGGACGCGGAACAATGGCTTCAAACTAAAGAGAGGAGATTCCATCTGAACATGAGGAAGAACTTCCTGACTGTGAGAGCCGTTCAGCAGTGGAACTCTCTGCCCCGGAGTGTGGTGGAGGCTCCTTCTTGGAAGCTTTTAAGCAGAGGCTGGATGGCCATCTGTCAGGGGTGATTTGAATGCAATATTCCTGCTTCTTGGCAGGGGGTTGGACTGGATGGCCCATGAGGTCTCTTCCAACTCTTTGATTCTAGGATTCTATGATTCTAAGGAGGAGGAGGAGGAGCAAAGAGGAGAAAGGTGGAGAAATCAACGACGTAAAAAAGATGAAAGAGGAAGAGGAGAAGTAGAAAATGTAGAAGGAGGAAGAGAAGAAGTGCAAAGAGGAAGAGAGAGAGGACAAGAAGATGTAGAAAAAAGGAAGATGAGGAAGAGAGAAGAAAAGAAGGTTGAGGCTGAGCACTACTCACCAGCGTGGCTCAAAGCAAGGAGGGCAAAGAGGACGGCGCAGCGGAGCAGCATTTCCCAAACCGTCGGGCGCCGTGCAGAGGGTCCAGGCGTGGGCAGGTCGAAAGCGGGACTCCCTTGGCTCCCTGAAAGAAAGGTTCACTCTCGTCCAATCGCTTCCGAATCAGCGCCGCCTTGCTTGGCTTCTGGAGCCTCTTCGTGAGGGTGGCACGCTTTATGGCCCGGCCGGTGACTCATCGGAGCCCTGGCCCGCCCTCCTTGTACGCAAACGGCGGCTGGGCTTCCAGCCCGCTCCAGCCGGCGGGGACTTTTCCAAGGCAAGCCATTGGGCAGGAAGCCCGCAGAGGCGGGGAAGGGGGTGCCGAAATGCCCTCCAGGCACCAAGTCCCGTCTCGACTTGGAAAAGTAAGCGGAGTCAGCCCTGGGTCGCACTTGGATGGGAGAGCCTCAGTGACTCCCCTGTGCTGTATTTCAGAGGAAGTGGCTCTAAGGTTTCCTTGCCTTAGAAAACAGTGGGATTCATGGGGTCGCGGGAGGAGGGGGGGGTGTGAACAAGGATAGTCCTTGTGCTCTCTTCCAATTTCTGTGACTCCACAGGCATTTCAACACAAGATACTCCCCTGTTACGAGGCAGCTTCTTCCCCTGCTGTGTTTTCTAGACACAGAAAGGCAGGCCCGTAGCCAGGATTTCGTTTCGGGGGGGGGGGGGGTGAATTTTTTGGGGGGCTGAGTCTGAGTGAAAGAGGGTCTAGCCTAGCAAACCTTTTGTATCATTACCTACCCAGAGGTGGCCCTAGGTAATTTTCAACTGTAAGCAAACAGTATTTTGGTGCCCCCCCCCCCCCAACCAATCATTGATATATATTTTCTGTTCGTCGTGGGAGTTCTGTGTGCCATATTTGGTTCAATTCCATCATTGGTGGAGTTCAGAATGCTCTTTGATTGTAGGTGAACTATACATCCCAGTAACTACACTTGCCGCACTTGCTCCCTTGCCTGGCCCGCTTTGGGTCCGGAGGTGTGCCTGAAGACCCCGGCGTGTGCACCAAAAGTCACCTCTTCTCCTGACTTTCTCCTCAGCCATTGGGACCGAGAGAGAGAGAGAGAGAGAGAGAGAGAGGTGGAGATGCCCACCTTTCCTGAAGGTAGGCACAAAAACAAAGGAGGGAGCGGAGGTGGGAGATACCTCCAGCTGAAGGGGCTCTCTCTCTCTCTCTCTTGGTCCCAATGGCTGAAGAGAAAGTCAGGAGAAGAGGCGACATTTGGTGTGCACGCTGGGGTCTTCAGACACGTCTCCAGACCCAAAGCAGGCCAGACGCGGCGGCTCCGCCCCTTGGCCCACCCGTGGATTAGGGAGAGGAGAGGAGGTGGGTGGAGCACCGGGGGATCGGGAAAGGGAGCCAGTCATGGGGAAGGGATCGAACGCGGAGAACGATTGAGCACCGGCTCTGCTCGCGCACCCGGTGGCCAGGTGGAGCAGGAATGAGAGGGGCAAGGTGAGGCTCAAGGGCCCGGCCCCTTTGGGAAGAGGATCGCCTGGCAGCGAGGCAAGAAAGCCGAGGCTCCCCCCGGACTGCTACGGCTGTTGTGAGCTGAGGGGGTGCTACTCAAATGGCGGTCGAGGGGCATTTACAGAGGCGCCTCTGCGCCCCGGCAAAAAAAAGTGTTCTGCGACCGCTTACTTCGCATAATGGACGAGCCGCCCCTGTCATCACCCCAATACCCCCATGCATATGGGATATATTGAGCATGGTGATCAGATCATGATATGAATAAACATAACAGTTTAAATCAGGGGTCCTCAAACTAAGGCCCGGGGGCCGGATGTGGCCCTCCAAGGTCATTTACCCGGCCCTCGCTCAGGGTCAACCTAAGTCTGAAACGACTTGAAAGCACACAACAACAACGACAACAATCCTATCTCATGAACCAAAAGCAGGCCCACACTTCCCATTGAGATACTAATAAGTTTATATTTGTTAAATTGTTCTTCATTTTAATTATTGTATTGTTTTAAGTGTTTTTTGCACTACAAGTAAGATATGTGGTATGCATAGGAATTCATTCATGTTTTTTTCAAATTATAATCCGGCCCTCCAACAGTTTGAGGAACTGTGACCTGGCCCTCTGTTTAAAAAGTTTGTGGACCCCTGGTTTAAATAATGCACCAGTAAGGCCTTTTCGCAAACCACCATGAGAATTTCGGGGGGGGGGCTGAAGCCCCTCGAGCCCCCCCCTCCCCCCCCCGGCTACATGCCTGCAGAAAGGAGCGGAGGAGAATAAAACCTGAATCATGGAATCATAGAATCAAAGAGTTGGAAGAGACCTCACGGGCCATCCAGTCCAACCCCCTGCCAAGAAGCAGGAATATTGCATTCAAATCACCCCTGACAAATGGCCATCCAGCCTCTGCTTAAAAGCTTCCAAAGAAGGAGCCTCCACCACACTCCGGGGCAGAGAGTTCCACTGCTGAACGGCTCTCACAGTCAGGAAGTTCTTCCTAATGTTCAGATGGAATCTGAGAACCAGGGCAGAAAAAGAATTGGTGTTGATTTGCTCAGAGAGACTTTGGAGGTCCATTTTCTCATTTCCGCTGAGCCAGGAAGCTCTGTAGCTTGGCAGCTTCAGACTTGAATTTAGAATCAAAGAGTTGGAAGAGACCTCATGGGCCATCCAATCCAACCCCCTGCCAAGAAGCAGGAATATTGCATTGAAAGCACCCCTGACAGATGGCCATCCAGCCTCTGTTTAAAAGCCTCCAAAGAAGGAGCCTCCACCACACTCCAGGGCAGAGAGTTCCACTGCTGAACGGCTCTCACAGGAAGTTCTTCCTCGTGTTCAGATGGAATCTCCTTTCTTGTAGTTTGAAGCCATTGTTCCGCGTCCTAGTCTCCAGGGAAGCAGAAAACAAGCTTGTTCCCTCCTCCCTGTGGCTTCCTCTCATGTATTTATACAGGGCTATCATGTCTCCTCTCAGCCTTCTCTTCAGACTAAACATGCCCAGCTCCTTAAGCTGCTCCTCATAGGGCTTGTTCTCCAGACCCTTGATCATTTTAATTGCCCTCCTCTGGACACATTCCAGCTTGTCAATATCTCTCTTCAATTGTGGTGCCCAGAATTGGACACAATATTCCAGGTGTGGTCTAACCAAGGCGGAATAGAAGGGCATTACTTCCCTAGATCGAGACACTATGCTCCTATTGATGCAGGCCAAAATCCCATTGGCTTTTTTTGCCGCCACATCACATTGTTGGCCATGTTTAAATCCAAGATCTTTTTCACATGTACTGCTCTTAAGCCAGGCGTCCCCCATTCTGTATCTTTGCATTTCATTTTTTCTGCCAAAGTGGAGTATCTTGCATTTGTCACTGTTGAACTTCATTTTGTTCGTTTTGGCCCATCTCTCTAATCTGTCAAGATCGTTTTGAATCCTGCTCCTGTCCTCTGGAGTATTGTCTATCCCTCCCAATTTGGTGTTGTCAGCAAACTTGATGATCATGCCTTCTAGCCCTTCATCTAAGTCATTAATAAAGATGTTGAACAGGACTGGGCCCAGGACGGAACCCTGTGGCACTCCACTTGTCACTTCTTTCCAGGATGAAGAGAAAGCATTGGTGAGCACCCTCTGGGTTCATCCATTTAACCAATTTCAGATCCAACTCACCGTAGTTTTGCCTAGCCCACATTGGACTAGTTTGTTTGCCAGAAGGTCATGGGGGACCTTGTCGAAGACCTTACTGAAATCCAGGTACGCTACATCCACAGCATTTCCCGCATCTACCCAGCTTGTAACTCTATCGAAAAAAGATATCAGATGGCATGACTTGTTTTTGATAAATCCATGTTGACTATTAGCGATGACCGCATTTGTTTCTAAGTATTTGCAGACCACTTCTTTAACAATCTTTTCCAGAATCTTGCCTGGTATTGACGTGAGGCTGACCAGACGGTAATTGTTTGGGTCATCCTTTTTTCCCTTCTTGAAGATTGGGACCACATTGGCCCTCCTCCAGTCTGCTGGAACTTCTCCCGTTCTCCAAGAACTCTCAAAGATGATTGCCAATGGTTCCGAAATGACTTCCGCTAGTTCCTTGGGTGTAGTTGATCTGGCCTTGGGGACTTGAACTCATTTAGAGCGGCCAGGTATTCCTGGGAATGGCTTTCCAGGGTGGTAAGGGAAATAAAAAAGGAGAGGAGAGTACCATGTATGAACCCTCTGCTAGTTCATGGAAAAAGAAGAACAGAAGAAGAGCTTTAAGGGCTTGATGTACAGGCAGTCCCCAAGATATGGACAAGATCGGTTCTGTAGGTTTGGTCACAAGTTGAATTTGTATATAAATCAGAACAGTGACATTTTTAAGTAATTCCAGCCAAATATAGACACACATATATGCATACACACATATATATTAGCTTTGAATAGTAAATGGAAGGATTAATTTCCCTGTGGTGTTTGTTTTGCTGTCTGTGCTCCTGTTCATAGCATTTCACCTCACTTTCTGTCTCTGTGACAATTAGATTTTGAAACATTTGGCTTGTTGTAGAAACAAGGATGGGCATAAAGCTCCAGTGGTGACACCTCCTTCCTTTCTTTCAGGAGTGAATTTCTCTTCCAAGGTTTAGATTTCTCTCACTTCCTATTGTCTCACTCCTCTTCTTAACTATGAGTCATTTGTAAGCCAAATGTTTGTAATTCGGGGACTGCCTGTATTTTATTTCAAAAGCTTGGAACTAGAAAGCGTTTCTTATTTCAGTTTTCTTTTCGTCCAGATTTTGTAATACAAGTCATATTTATGATACTTTTGGGTGGAGGGAGAGACATTCCTGCCCAGCACTAAGCCTTGAATTCCTGGCATTTCACGGCTCCTCAGTCTCTCCAGCGATGAGTCTCATACACAGCACACGCAATACATGAAGGAGGTAAGAGGCTGGAGAGAGACTCCTCATCTACACTGCCATATAATGCAGGTTGAAACTGCATTATATAGTCAAGTTAGATGCATAATGCCGCTAAACTGCATTGAACTTCACTATATAAATATGCACTGACCATGTAATACAGTTTCATACTGTATTCTTACCATTTCATTGAGCCTGGGTGTCAGTGAAATTGTAAGAATCTAAGAGGCTCCTTCTTTGGAAGCTTTTAAGCAGAGGCTGGATGGCCATCTGTCAGGGGTGATTTGAATGCAATATTCCTGTTTCTTGGCAGGGGGTTGGACTGGATGGCCCATGAGGTCTCTTCCAACTCTTTGATTCTATGATTCTATGATTCTAAGAGTGGGGCTTGGCACAAAGCCACATCTCCCATCACTTCGGAGATACTTATGTCTCTCTCCAGCCTCCTATCTTTCTCACTCCAGCCTCTGGTTGCTTGTGTTGTATATTTGCAGAGCTGCAGAAAA